AACAGGTTCAATATTGCTCTCAATTGTGGTGGAATTTGGGGCAAATATGCCGGGGCTGGGGAAAGATCAGGGGTCTGAGGCACTGTGTCCACAAACAGTGTACAACATGGTCATCTGGAAGACAACCCAGGCATTTGGGGTGCCACTTCCCATTTTCTCTCTCTCTAAAGGGCCCAGAGCACCTTTGCAGCCTCATCAAAACTGGCTAGTAAGGTTATGCAGAGAAGAATGGGAGACTGGATTTATACCAAAGGAGTCTCAGAGTGGCTTACAATCTCCTTTTCCTTCCCTTCCCCTCCCCACAACACACACCCTGTGAGGTAGGTGGGGCTGAGACAGCTCTCTCGAGAACTGCTCCTGAGAGAACAGCTCTGAAATAACTTGTAACTGGCCCAAGGTCACACCAGCAGCTGCATCCCCTCCCCACAACACACACCCTGTGAGGTAGGTGGGGCTGAGACAGCTCTCTCGAGAACTGCTCCTGAGAGAACAGCTCTGAAATAACTTGTAACTGGCCCAAGGTCACACCAGCAGCTGCATGCGGAGGAGTGGGGAATCAAACCTGGTTCTCTCAGATTAGAGTCCGCACACCTAACCACTACACCAAACAGGAACACTCAAGGCCACATGAAGAAAAGTCAATAGCAGAGGAGGAATTTTAGCTAGGAGTCCCCTAACCCAGACCAAAGACTGTAATCTCCTGAGCACAGTGGGAGCCAAAGTAAACATCAGGGAGGAGAGGCAAAAAACTCACCTGTGGGACTTTGGGCTTGTAGAATACCTTGTCTGAATGGGCCGCCCCATGTACTAAGCAGCTACGCATACTTAGTTAACACCCCAGATACTGGTATCCTAAGTGGGTGTTGCGCAGGAGTATTAACTGAGCAGGTGTAACTGCTTTAGTACGTGGGGTGGCCTTGTTCACACAAGACACCCCACAAGTCCAAAGTTCCACAGGTGACTTGTTTTGCCTCACCAGGATCACTTTGACCGTGGTCCCTGGTCTACATACGCTGCAGAATAGGCACCAGAAGAAGGCATTACATCATTTCTGTGGGTGGGAGGTACCATTTTCAAATGCTCCATGCCAAAAACTCCCTGCACACAAAAAAATGTATATGCTGGAGAGAAAAATTCTAGGCCTGCTTACTTCTTGCCATATTCCTTCTTTAACTGCTGGGCATTGCTTATGCAAGGGAGCATTAAAAATGTGATGTTCTCCACCTGCAGTCTGAAGTGGTACAATCCATTCCATGCCTTCAGAACGTCACCCCCACAGATCCGCTCCCTGCGTAGACTCTTCCCCAGCTAGAGTGAACCCAAGGCTCTTGGGAGGACATGCCATCCTCTGCCCAATACGCCCAGCAGCCTTCTCCCCCACTCAATGTGTACCTGGCCTCTGGGGCTTTGTTCCTTCACTGGAGGAGACCATGTTGAGCAGGAGGGTCTTCAGGCTTTCTTCCGTGACATACAGCAGGATGTTCTCTGGTTTGATGTCTGCATGGATGATGCGGCACTCCTTGTGCAGGAAATGCAAGCCCTTGAGCACCTACACAAGCCAGAGTGTAACTTGCAGTTAGGGATACGGAACGCTGTGGGATCCTTCAACCACCTGTAATCACTAGGAGCCACACTGGAGTAGAGCATGATGTGCTTCGCCAGAATTTTATCCTCTTACCTGGTTGCTGCCTTGACCTGGATGGCCCAGACCTGCCCAATTTTATTGTATCTTGGAAACTAGGTGGGGATAGACCCTGGTTACTGTTCTGGATGGGAGACCACCAAGGAAATCCAGGGGGGGGGTCTTGATTGTGACTTGATGGCACTTTCCACCACCACCACCCAGTAGCCAGGCCTGGGGGGCACAAAAGCCAAACCTTCTCCAAATGAGCCCTTCTTGTGCATCAGTGTGCTGTGATACTACAGGCCTGTGCAAGGGCAGGCAGTGGCAGAATTCATAGAGTACCACAGAGGAAAACATTGTGAATGCAAACAGATAGGCGCTCTGCCACCCTACGGAGATGCCACTCTACGGAGGAGGCTTAAGAAGAAGAAGAGATTGGATTTATACCCCGCCCTTCACTACCCAAAGGAGTCTCAGAGCAGCTTACAACCTCCTTTCCCTTCCCCTCCCCACAACAGACACCCTGTGAGGTGGGTGGGGCTGAGAGAGCTCTGACAGAAACTGCTTTTTTTCAAGAACAGCTCTTATCAGAACTACAGCTTGCCCAAGGTCATCCAGCCAGGTGCAAGTGGAGGAGTGGGGAATCAAACCCGGTTTTCCCAGATGAGAGTCCGCGCACTTAACCACTACACCAAACTGGCTCTCTTTCAGCAAGATGTATTTGGCAAGACTGCATGTGAGCGTGTCGCTCTCTGTCAGGATCCAAAGGGCTGGACCAGGTCACAGGCCGAGGCTTACCTTAGTAAACGAGCACGAACAGGAGGACACGAGAGCAGCTCTGGTGGGTCACATCAAAAGGTCGTCTAGTCTGCCCTTTTGCTTCACACAGTGGCCAGTCAGATGCCCCAGAGGGCCAAAAGCAGGGATACAGAGGCTGAAGGGCCCCCCCGCCCCCGCCCCATTATTTAGAGGGATGCTGGCTGAACATGGCGTTTCCGTTAGTCTTCTTGGCTAATAGCACTGATGGACGTCTCCGCCATGAATGTGTCTGACACACACCCTCATTAAAACCCACCTATGGGCAATGTGGAGTTTGGCCATAAGCTAGCAGCCTGCTGGGGTTGCCAACTCTGAGTTGGAAAATTCTGGGAGGGTGGGGGGGTTGGGGAGGGGCCTCAGTGGGGTATAATCCCATAGAAACCAGCCTCCAAACGACCCATTTTCTCCAGGGGAACCAACTACTGTCATCTGGAGATCAGTTATAATTTCAGGAGATCTCCAGGCCCCACCTGGAAATTGGCAGCCCTAGGCCTGGCAGCCATCCCTGTTTCCTTCCTAGGCTAATAAGTTCCATAGACTGAGACCTCACAAGCCCTTCATTCC